CCACCACTCTCTGGGTGCACCCCATCAGCCAATTTTTGACCCATCCAACTGTGTAGGCATCAATGCCACAGTTGCTCAATTTATTAATGAGAAAGGGGTGAGAGACAGTGTCAAAGGCCTTCTTAAAGTCCAGAAAGACTACGTCCATGGTGACACCATCATCCAGGGATTTAGTTACTTGGTCATAAAAGGCCATCAGGTTGGTCTGGCAGGACCTGCCTTTGATAAACCCATGTTGATTTCCCCTGGGCATGATCTCCCCTGCTGGCCCCTCACAGATGTGATCCTTGATAATTTTTTCAAGGATTTTCCCCAAGACCGATGTGGGGCTTATGGGCCTGTAGTTTCCTGGGTCCTCCTTTCTCCCTTTCTTATAAATGGGGACCACATTAGCTAGTTTCCAATTTCCAGGCACCTGGCCCGTGGACCACGATTGCTCGTACAGCCGGGCCAAGGGCAGAGCAATGACCCCCGCCCGCTCTCTAAACACCCATGGGTGGAGGGCATCAGGGCCCGCAGATTTTAAAACATCCAGCCCTTCCAGAAGATCCCTAACTACATCTGTGCAGACCCGAGGCCTGGCAGTGCTATCCCCAAGATTGCCCCTACCCGTGGTGGGAGAGCTGTCCTGGTCCCTTTCCAAGAAAACAGAGGCAAAAAACTTGTTAAAAATTTCGGCTTTCTTGTGTGGAGTAGCCGCAAGATTACCATTTGAGTCTAACAGGGGCCCTACATTACCCGGTGCCCTCTTCTGACTCCCAATGGATTTGAAGAAGGACTTTTTGTTGTCCTTAATCCTGGTTGCTAGCCTGAGCTCCACCCCTGCCTTGGCCTTCCTAATGGCCCTCCTACACTCACGGGCCAAGGAGGAGTATTCCTTGCCAACCTGTTTCCCTTTTTAGGCTTTTATAGAAAGATGTTGGAAGAGAGACTTAGAGCTTTGCAGTGATGAACAGTTTAAGTTAGATTGGATATCTTCAAAAAACATCTGGATGCTCACCCTGCTGGGGTCACCTGACCCCAGCAATCTTTCCTGCCCAAGCACAGGGGGGCTGGACATGATGATCTCAAAAGGTCCCTTCCAGCCCCTAACATCTATGAACATTGAGGTGCACTGATTGAGATTTGGGGGGGCGCTAATGATAACCGATATTTAAGGAGGCATATCAGCCGATACCGATCTGATTTCTGATATAACTGCCATCAGGCAGTAAGTCCAGTGTCGTGTAAGGGAGGGGAGAGGGAAGGGGCTTAGGGGGAACAGATCAATGCCCCCCATGGTGAGGGAGGGGTCAGGCGCTGCCCAGCAAGGGGGGCGTGGGACAGAGGCATGGCTTGTGGGGTGGGGGCAGCTCTTGCAGCTGCTTGCATTCTGGGATGGCAGGGGAAGGGTGGAGGTGTCCCTGGATCTGACCTGCACGAGGTGGGCTGTAGTTGCAGGTTGGAGCTGGCACTCATGCTGAGCGGGGCTCTTCTCGCCGGGGGCTGGGCTCGGAGCGGGCTCCAGCAGCACTGGGAGGAGGCTGCAGCCACCCCAAGTTTGACCACAGCTCTGCTCCCAGCCCCGCGCCGCTGCTCAGCCTAGCCACAGCTTTTCCCAGTGCTTGGGTGGAGGCACATGGCATTCAGCTGGGGCTGTGCCAGGCTGGTAGCAGTGCGGGGCTGGGAGTGGAGCTACGGCAAAATTTGGGATGGCTGCAGCCTCCTCCAAGCACTGCTGGAGCCTGCTCTGAGCCCAGCCCCCAGTGAGAAGAGCCGAATAGCGCCGTCTCCAGCTCCACCGTGCAGTTGCTGCCTGCCCCACACCATGCAGATCCAGGGGCACAGGCCCCTGCCCTCCTCCCTGCTATCCTGGGGTGCAAGCAGTGTCAGGAGCCGCTTGTGCCTCTGTCCCGCGCCCACTGCCCTGTCCCAGCTGGGCAGTGCCTGCCCCTGCCCCCTCCCTCACCTCAGGGAGCATTGATCTGACCCCCACGCCCCATCACTCCCTCCTCCCCTTCCAACTTACCAGCTAGAGGCAGATCTCCACGCTGCCAGCTCTGCTCCTTAATGTGCTGTGGCTGTGTGCAGCACGGGCATTTATAGGCCAAATTATTGGCCTCATCGGACCGATATCCAATATATAAACAATTTTCTTTATATCGGTACTGATCCGATATCAGACTGATGTATCAGTATACCTCTAATGTACATCTATGAATCTGATTCAGATAGAGTTGCAAAATGGTGGAAGGGACTTAGTAGGTGACACTGGCGAAACAGAATGCTAGTTTTCTGGACCCCTGAGGCAGCATTCAGGCTAAAAGCCAGGATTCTGTGGGCTAGATCTAGCCAGCTGGAGGTTGAGCACCATCGTTGTAGATTAGAGAGTAGAAGATTGCAGTAGTTCAGGAATGAGATGACTAAGAACTAGGGAATTTAGAAGAGAATTGCAGGGGACAAGCAGGAGAGGCCTGAGGATCTAGCAATAGCTTTGAGGTATAGAACAAACTGAGAAAAAGAGTTGCAGGTGGTACTGAGTTCATTGCTTTTGGATATGGTAAAAGGTGGTATAATTACTTGTTATAACGGAGAAAGGAGTAGGTTGGAAACTTTGGGGAAGGTGGCTTTGCTGTGTTGAATTTGAGTGAGCAGTTGGAGATCTAGTAAGAAATGTCAGGCTGAGCAGAGAAGCAGCGGCTAAAGAGAGAGGTAAGTTTGAAAATTACCATTGTAAATATGGTGAATTTTGTTAGAGAGATGAAACAGAACCCTGGACAGCACACAGAAAAGATGAGAGAGGTGTAGTATCAGACAGATACAAGGAAATCTTAGGATTGTTTTCTCCTGAGAGTATAGCAAAATTTACTCACATATGCCAGTACCATCTTCTTTTAAGGACAAATAAAAGAAATATTTTAAACTCATTAAATATATCAAAGTTAACAAGGCAATTAAACTCAACCACTTTGAGCTAAAAAATGAGTGAGACTGGTATATCAAGTTTCAGGTCAATACAACTTAAAACACCCCTTTATAAATACCTAAAAGCAGCTGATGTTTTACATGTGAAGATGTTTTAAACCATAGAATTACAAAACTAACATTTTATAAATTGGTGGAAACGTATAGGATATTAACTTAATTTCCAATACTGGAATGTTTACAAATACATTCTTTCCATGTATAGGGAAACCTCATTAATTTGATTTTGGATACTCCAAAGAATCGGATACTTTGAAGGTATTGTCACTCCCCAACTGAAAGGATAGGTTTTTGTATTCTTTACAATATGAATAATTCAGAAGATGGCTACTTTAAAATTCAAAGCATTTTCTAATCTGTTAGATAAGGAAAACCTTGTTTAAGTATGTTGCCTTATCATTAAATCGTTGCCAGGAGCAGGATATGCTCATGGAAATCAACTGTGAAGTTGATTAAATGCAGCCTGCGGTGAGCATGCCTGTAGAATACCTGGCACAAGGCCAAGACTCATACTGGGCAAATATGCTGGTGGGAACTGCCACAATGCTAGGTTAGTGCAGTCCATCTGAATAAGACATAGGGCCAATTGCGCTCTGTGCTCCTCAGAGCCAACTCTTTCTTAAGTCCTAGTGAACCGCTAAATCAAATACATTTCACCTTCCTTCTTACTCCAGCATCTGAGCCTTTCCTTCCCATTTCCAATGCTTCCTATTTCTTCACTGGCCTTAAATGTCTGGCAGACGTCTCTACGTATCTGTGTTGCCCCCCTCTATCGGCACTTTGCGCATGACTGGTGTGGCCCTCCCCTCCATGGGGTGGAGCCAGACTAGGAGACCCTGCACCTCATCTGCATATGCATATTTGGAGGGTCCCAGGACTCGTGACAAGAACAACCAGTTCTAGTCGTGAGTGGGGAGTTAATTATGGGTGGGTATGTGGAGCATGCACACAAACTGAGCAGTGCTGTGCTGTGGGGTCACCATAGCTCGAAATGCTGTTGACTGGTGGAGCCCAGCCCCATGAACTGTATCAGTGATTTTCAACTATATCTAAAGGGTCTGCAAAAGATGACTATGATCAATCAAAAGTATGTGAATAACCACATGTACAATTCAAAGAGGTATGCACCTTCATTTGAAATTTTTTAGGGGTCCACTAATGAAAAAAGATTAAAAACCACTAAACTATTATAAATCATGATCCTTTTGGCTTTGGACTTAATATCATGCATAGTTTGTACGCTGTATAAACGGATGCAGAAGTGCTGCTTAAAAGTGTGTTTATGGAATACCTATGCTGAAAGTAGCAGTAGTTTACAAAAGGATGAAACACATTAGTTTTGGGTGAACAAAGTCTGATTGCAAATTACTATGCATATATTCAAAGTCCAATGGGTATATTTATTTCAAACCCATTTATTTCAAAGTCACTGTTTTCTGGTCCCCAGCCTTTCAATTAATGTGGTTTTCCTGTAACCATGCTCACCCCACGTCTGTATTTTCTGGGATTGTCCATTTTAAAGATAGATAAGTACCAACTAAAAATGGAATTCTTATTCTGCTGGTTATTGTGGCAATTCTTGTTGTAGATGGACAAAATATAAAAATTATAATTTAAGAGTAATTTTATTTGATTCTCTCAAGAACACTATATTTAGCGAATACAGGTTACTGATAAGTTGTTTTTCTCCAATATGATAATTATTAATTAAGAATTCCAGAAAATATTGGAATACAAAAAGTCTGTCAATATCAACAGTGAAGACTTTTCCTTGACTTACAATTTTATCTATTGTTATGTTAAACTGGAAAAAATGCTAGAGGCAATGTTGTGAAAGCACCTTGCTCAAAGATAGCCTATTACAGAACTTAAATTGAATTATAAATTGAGGAGATTATGATTGGTTTAAGGGTCACACACAGAGAGTGATGGTGGATGGGTCAGTATTGACCTGGAAAGATGTGGGCAGTGGGGTCCCCTAAGGCCCCAAGGTCCTTGGACCTGTGCTATTCAATAGCTTCATCAGTGACTTGGATGAGGGCATGGAGAGCACTTTGTCCAAATTCGCAGGTGACATGAAATTATGGTGTAAAGTAAACACATCAGTGGGAATCCAGGCAGACCTGGACAGATTGGAAAACTGAGCACAAAAGAATAGGATGCAGTTTAACAAAGACAAGTACAAAGTGCTGCATCTAGGGAGAAGGAATCACCAACACACCTATAGGCTAGGGGAGGACCTTCTCAGCAGCACAGTGGCAGAAAGGGATCTCGGAGTCATAGTTGACTTCAAGATGAATATGAGTCGTCAATGTGACGAAGTAATCAGCAAAGCTAACTGCACTCTATCATGCATTAGCAGGTGCACCATGAACAGGTCCAGGGAGGTGATGCTTCCCCTCTATGCAGCGTTGGTCAGGCCACATTTGGAGTACTGCGTCCAGTTCTGGGCACTGCACTTCAAGAGGGACGCAGATAACCTTGAGAGGGTTCAGAGGAGGACCACTCATATCATTAGGGGCCTGCAGGTACATGGAGAAGGGAAGAAACAACCAAATACTAACTATTATAATAGAGGCAGAAGGAAACTAAGCAAAGCATAGCTTTAGAGATGTGTAGAATCAGTCACTTGCCGAGAAATGTTAATTGAATAAAGGGGCTATTTAAACCCAATGGAAAGAGATTTTGAATGTGTGTAATGCAATTGGTTTCAAATACATAAATAAAAGTCTACTTTATCACTTAATATAAGAATTATTCTTCTGCTCTTATTTTGAAATGAATGACTGTTTGCATTTTTAGGTAAAATTTGGAAATACCACATTTAAAACGGATGTGTATCCCAAGTCTCTCAATCCTCAGTGGAACTCTGAATGGTTTAAATTTGAGGTAACAAAAGTTTTATAAATTATCATTTGCATCTCTGTCAATATCTGATTTGAAAAGCTTTATAGTTAAGTATTTCTATTTGAAAATAAAATATGTATTTTGGAGAGGGAAAGCATTGTCAGAAGAATTTATAGACTTCATCTGAAGAAATTGACAAGCTAGCCTCCATATCACTTAACTTATGATTTCCATATGCGTTAACACAAGTTTGCATTGCTAGGTCTATGAATTTGGTCCAGCTGAGCTGAAATGTCATGCAGTGCAATGGTAGAAAAGGGTGAAGTTTAAGTCAGAAATACAAATCTTTAGTTTTTAGCAAATAGGCTTTCAAGCATCAATATAGTTGAATTATAATTTTTATTTTTATTAACTAGACTAAGTAAATTAGTCTTTGGAATATGTGAGCTTTACTAAATTTATAGAGTTATTGGCTGCTTTCACTATCTTATGTACTTCTTAATCAGGCACTGCTAGGGGTGCAACGATTATAGATTTTTGGGGCCGATATGGATATCTGATTTTTAAGGAAACATATCGGCCAATACCGACCCAATTTCCAGTATAGCGTGGAGAGCTGCTTCCTTTGTGGTGGAGGGGGGCAAATCAACCCCTCCCCACAGTGAGGGAGGGGGCAGGGGCAGGCGCTGCCCAGCCAGGGCAGGACACAGGACAGAGGTGTGGCCTGGGGAGGGGGGGTGCATGTGCCCCCTGATCTGCGCAGAGTGAGTGGATGGGCTGCAGCTGTGGGCTGGAGCCGGGCTCTTCTCGCCAGGGGCTGGGCTTGCGGCAGGGGCTACGGAGGGGGCTGCAGCCAACCCAAATTTCACTGTAGCTCCCTCCCACCACTGCATGCCCAACACAGCCTGGCTCTTCCCAGCTCAACCCCTGCCTCCCCATGTGCGCTGGGAAGACCCAGGGCTGCGCTGGGTGCACGGTGGCACTGGGGGGAAGTTGCCCCCCCTGATGTACCGTGCCTTTGTCCTGCATGGGGGGAGGGGAGGTTGAGTCAGGAAGAGCAGGGGCTGCACCGGGCATGCAGTGGCAGTGCTGGAAGGGAGCTACAGAGAAATTTTGGGTAGCTGCAGCCCCCACTCCAAGCCCATCCCCTGGCAAAAAGAGCCCTGCTCCAGGCCGCAGCTGCAGCCTGCCTGCTCACCCCATGCAGATTCGGGTGGCATCCCCCCCACTCCTGGGGTGCAAGCAGCGGTGGAAGCCACCCCCCGCCCTGACAAGCCACGCTTCCATACCACACCCCAGCCCAGCTGGACAACGCCCTACACCTGCCCCTCCCTCATTGTGGGGAGGGGTTGATTTCCCCCCCCCCCCCGGTGCTCCTTCCTTCCCTCCCTCTTCCCCTTCTACCACAATGGACTTACCAGCTGGAGGCAGCTGTCCACACTGCTGGGTTGTGCTCCTTGTTTCCTGAGTGTTGTGCTGCAGCTGCGCACATGCACTGGCATTTTTTGGCCACATTTTTGGCCCCATTGGGCCAATTTCTGATGCAGCCAATTTTCTTTATATCAGACTGATGTATTGGGCACCTCTAGGCACTGCTATTTAAAAGCAGGATCAAACTTTGATATCTGTTTCCTATAGAGTTTTCAGCCTCCTCAGCTTTTGTTGTCCTCACAAGATGTGGACATTCATCATGTTTCCACCAGTGCCCATCACATTGCAGAATCTGATTAGTTGACGTTAAGATGAATATAGCTGCATCATAGTTGTCCTTTGATAGTCTCCTCAAATAAATCACTTATATGATCAATTCTTATTTCATTTCCTCATGCCAAATGGAGGGAAAACATTATAGGTGATTGGCATGGGCTACGGTGGTATTTTACTGCTTAAAAAAGGAATGGCTTGTCCCTTGTCTAGTCTTGGGACTAGCTTGTCAAGGCCGAAGGAGATTTACTATGTAAATATTATGTATTTTGTCATAATATGATTCCACAGTGGAAATACCTCTTTGTTCTATGTACAAATAGTGATATAATGCCTGATAATATTCTAAATGCATTTTTTTAAAGCAATTATAAAACAAAATTGGTTGAATTAAAGAATGTATTCCAGGCTGATTGCTAGGAAGCAAAGCTATGTGCTAGAAAGTTTATTTTTTCTCTCTTCTTTTTTGGGGAGAAGAGTTGGCTGAGCTACGGGGAGTGGAGCAAAGTTTTGTATAAGCAAAGTTTTTGGTTAACAATAAAAAATTTTTTTTTTTTAAATTTTGCATGGAAAAGTATATTTGAGACCAAAGAGAACAAAACAGTTTTGGGAAAAAATGGGAGTTCTACATTTAAGAGAATGGAATAACACTAACTACTTTAGATATCATAAATATGTGCTTGTGTGCATGGTTTGGTCTATTCATGAAATTCTGGAAATACATACTCATTAGTCATGTTACACTCAGTAGAACTAGTTGATGTGTTGTTAAACATAACTGCAGCATTGTGACAAAAATCACCTCATTGACTAGATGAACATACTGCTAGCGAGAAGGAAATGTGTATTTGAATTTATTCTTCAAGGGTTATGGTTAGCTGCATAAAAAAAAGCCTTTCCTGGCCCATTTGAAAAGGGAAAATTGCTATGTAAAATTGGAACACCAGTGAGCATTTTATATCCCGAGTATTGTGTAATACACTTGTATTTGAATGTAGGAAAGTCTTTTTTGGTGGGGGCGGCTTTGGTTAACTATGTAAAGAATAGGAAAAAAATCAAAATGCAGTTTAACGTGTGAAATTTATGCAACCTTTCTGTTTTCTTATATCCCACTGAAAATTCTGGTGTCCTTTTTTTTTTTTTAACGTGGTCATTTTGGGGAGGAGAGAACTTAGGAGCATATGCAAGAAATTGTAGTCACAAAGCTTTGTGTAACTAAACTCTCTCTCTTTGAAATTGCTTTCTTTACTGATTTAAATACAGAAGTTTCATGTCAACATGTGTTTCTAGGTAGATGATGAAGAACTACAAGATGAGCCCCTGCAGATCACAGTTCTTGATCATGACACTTACAGTGCCAATGATGCCATTGGCAAGGTGTACATAGATATTGATCCTTTGCTGTACAGTGAGGCAGCTACAGTTATCTCAGGATGGTTTCCAATATATGATACCATACATGGTAAGGTTTGCTAATTTAAAACAAAATAAAATTGTTTGACTTATTTCACGCTTCAAAAAAAATCCTCTTCATCTTAAAGCTTTTTACTACTGTCACTTTACTACTAAATATATTCTTTTTGACAGTTTAAAGCACAGGTCCCATTAAGTTTTTATGGTGTGATAAGTAAAAATGCTATATTAAAATTAGTGCTAAATCATGTTTTGGGATACTGACTCTTTTCTTTGGGATAATATAGCAATCATTAGGTACCAGTGAGATGTCTCAAATCATATCGTACGGGTCCCTCTGCATGTTACAGGTATTGTGTAGTTAACTGGCTAATGTGCACAATTACCTGGAGACCAGTTACACGTGCAAAGCAGCTGTCAAATACAAAGCTCCAACCATCTATAAAATTAGACCTTGAAAATGTGTACTAACTTTATAGCTGGTTGCAATTGAGCTTTAATTTGCATATGCAGCAGTGTCTTCCCTGCAGCTAGAACTGGGAGCCCTGTCAGCTGACAGGACTCTCAGCCACAGGGGTGTACCATGCACAGCATAAAATACCTGGGCCCTGTGGATTGCAGTTGCCACAATCCCTAGAGCTTGGGGGTGCAAGAAACTCCTCGGGCTGGAACATCACCACAGCTTTTTGCTGGTGCAGGGGGAACCTGGGATCAGGCTCCCACTGCACCAGCAATAAGGTGTCATGGGATCTAATGTGCGATCCCACTACCATGCCTCCTGCCATGCATGTGTGACATAGAAGGAGGCACAACTGTGTGAATTGCACATTAGATCCCATCACGCATTAGATCCCACTGTACTTTTACCTGTGAAATTTCAGACAGGTGGGGGAAAAGACTCTTCATAAAGACATTTTAAATTCTTTTTTTCAAGGTAATTAGGTTTCAAACAAATACCTCTTCGGGCTCACATTTTTGCTGAAAGCAGAGTTTTTTGTATGCTATTTTTTGGTATTTTTGATCAAACGTTGTTTGGAGTATAGGAGAATATGAAGTAACACAGGATGACATTCCTTCTCCCTACAAAGTCTTTCCAATATGGGATTTGTTCAGAATATTTTAGAATTGAGATAACTCCTATTAAATTTAATTTTGTCTTTGTTAATGAAGCTGAGATTTATCCTCAAGAACAGAATGTAATAATTTATACATAGCTGTGGAATATTTTGTGAGTCCTTCTTTTACTATGTTAAGTTTTGTTGACACAATGGTTCATCCCAACTTGTTATATGAGATGTATATTACTGCATTCATATAACTGATGTACAAGTCTGATTGTTTTACTTTCTAATGTAAAATCAATTAAATACTTGATCAGTAGTGGTAGAGAGATTACGCATGAAAAACTTAAGTGTTTAGGGATTGGTCATTTAAATATATGAAGAAAACTTATTTTGCTTATGCAGTTTCTTTTATGTTCAACATTTTTTACAAACATTACTCTTATTTACACTCTCATAAGCATGCCTTAACTAGAATGAAAGTAATTCTGTGTTCTTGAGAAGTTATTTGGGGAGAAGAATTCAGCACAGAGTTTGAAAATATCTTAACGGATATGCATGTTTTTGGAATCTTTGGGGAAAAGAATATATGGAATGCTAAAGGAAAATAAAACTATATAATTTTGTTTTTAAGTTTTTCTTTTTCATAGCAATGCTTACTCTCCATATTTTATTATTGACAGGTATCCGTGGCGAGATCAATGTGGTGGTAAAAGTAGACCTCTTCAATGATTTAAACCGATTTAGGCAGTCATCCTGTGGAGTCAAATTTTTTTGCAGTGAGTAAAAAACATTGTTTTGCTGTGTGATATGTTTTTTGTTTGATTATTTTGCATTTTTTAACATGAAAAACTGGAAACGTACGCCCTTCTCAAGAGCACGGTGGCAGAAAGAGATCTTGGAGTCATTATTGACTCCAAGATGAACATGGGCTGACAATGCGAGGTCGTGGTCAGTAGGGCTAACCGTGCCTTGTCGTGCATCCACAGATGCATCTCAAACAGGGCCAAGGAGGTGATCCTCTCCCTCTATGCGACACTGGTCAGGCCGCAGCTGGAGTACTGTGTTCAGTTCTGGGCGCTGCACTTCAGGAGGGATGTGGACAGCATTGAGAGGGTCCAGAGGAGGGCCACCTGCATGATCTGGGGACAGCAGGGCAGACCCTACAAAGAGAGGCTACGGGACCTTAACCTGTTCAGCCTTTGCAAGAGAAGGCTGAGGGGGTACCTGGTGGCTGTCTATAAACTCACTAGGGGGGACCAGCAGGGTTTGGGAGAATCCGTGTTCACCCTAGCGCCCGCCAGGGTAACAAGGAATAATGGCCACAAATTGTTAGAAATTAGGTTTAGACTAGACATCCGAAGGCACTACTTCACAGTCAGGGTGGCTAGGATCTGGAACCTGTCGGGACCGAGGGTCGGTCTAAGGCTATGGCCAGTAGCCTGGACCATCAGGTGTGGTTTTTCCACGATGGAGTAGAGTTAGGCACGGAAGCGTATTGGTTTTATAAAGAAAGCTTTACTTACATTGCCGATGGTCACAGTGCAGGGAGGAAACTTGCTTGAGTTGCAGTTGCACGCAAACGAACACAAGTGAGATCTCTTCCGAACCGCACCGAACTGAGATGAGTCGTCGATATACGACTCCATGAGCGCTTCACACGGGGGATACGTCAAATTCACACTATGACGGGGAGTGGCTAAGAGCTGATCAGGCCTCTCTGTCCTCCTCCAAGACACACGCGGAGTTTGCTCCACAGCGCGCTCAGAGTTCCCCATGAGATGGTTGTGGAGTCCTCCAACTTGGGCGGAAGCTGCTCTAGCCTTTTGTACGGCTAGCGTGCCAATTGCTAGCCGCCACGTAGGAATAATTTAGAATTGACCAATAGTGGGACACTAATTTGCATGTGTGTGGCGGGAACTCTTTGCACCGGGGATTTCTCTCTGCAGCTGAGAAATCCACCATGCAAAGAAAGCTCCATGTGGCGGGAAAATTACAATGTGCCGAGGCACTAAAAATCATTGGGTTATGACAGAACCAACTTCCAAGGGAAGTGATGATGGCTCCTACCCTGGGGGTCTTTAAGAGGAGGCTTGATGTCTACCTGGCTGGGCTCATTTGAGCCCAGTTTTCTCTCCTGCCCGGGGCATGGGGGTCGGACTTGATGATCTACAAGGTCCCTTCCTACCCTACTTCTATGAATCTACTCATGTGAGACTGGACAGGCAAGTGCAACATGTACCAAATGGCGCAGTTAAAAGTCAAATAATCCTTGATACAAATATATGTGGCATGCCAAAACTAGACAAAGTGTAGTCTTTGAACTAGTCTTGTATGTTGTCCTTTTCACAGCTGATTTTCTGTCCTTTCAGCTTCCTCCACAAACAAAACTTCAGGATCTAATCTGAATTTATTGAAGTCAGTGGGATAGCTTGAAACATCGTTTTAATTTTGGGTTTATGAGTATCATTCTGTTTGGGTGTATGAGTATCTATGACAAATTGCTTCCTTCATTAAGCAACCACTTTAAAGTACCTCAAAGTAATGAAGTTAACCGATTTATTTTTTGATTATTTAAGATGCACACGTGCACAACCAAGCCCGCACTGCATGTGTGTGTGTTTGTATGCATGTGCGCATACATGACAGTATTTTTGCACATTTGCTTTATGTAAAAAATAGCCTGTAGTGGGTTATTGTTTAGCTTTTATTTTCCCTTTTATTAATTGTCCCTATAAAAAACACCATAAGTAATAAACAAACACATATACAAACAACAAGAGGGTTAACTCAAAACCTACAGTCCTTCCTCTGACCTGGAGAGAGCAACCTGACCTTGAAAATGTGTACTAAATGTGAAAATGTGTACTAAATGTGTGCTGTCTCCTCGACACCACAACCTGCCATCTCTCCCCTCAACTTCTCTCTGGGAACTTTTAACTTCCTCTGATCCTAGGCGGTCATCCTTGTCAGCTGGCCCCATGCCCCTAAGCAGTTAGGCTATTACTTATTAACTGCAGCTGGGCTCCCACCCATGAGCCATGTACATGGTTACGTAGTTACAAGAGGGTGTATATTAAAAAAGGGTCTGATAGATATGCTATGCAACTGGCAGCAGTGTCAGGTAGCAATATGTGCAATGTATGATAGTATCTGCCGCTGCTGTTTAAAGTATACAGTTTTATTATTATTAATAATTAAAGGGAATGCATATATTTCAGCATTAATTTTGGGATACAGTAGAATCTGGATGGTTTATATTTGGATGACTTGCAATCAACTTAATTTTGGGCACCAATAAAATAGCCGTTTCTTGACCTTTTAATTATTTTGCTGGAAAGATAATTACTCATTTGTTTCCTGGGTGTCTTCCTAACTACTAGACTTATCTCTCTCTTGCTTTCTTTTTCATAACAGCTACCTCTATTCCTAAGTGTTATAGAGCAGTAGTAATTCATGGATTTGTGGAAGAGCTGGTGGTTAATGAAGACCCAGAATACCAATGGATAGACCGAATCCGTACACCAAGAGCATCAAATGAAGCTAGACAAAGACTTATTTCCCTAATGTCAGGTAGCAATACATTCAGTGTATGATAGTAACTGCTTCTGCTCTTCAAAGTATACAGTTTTATTATTGTTAATAATTAAAGAGGGTGTATGTATTTCAGCATTTATTAATATAAACTATCCAGTAGAACCTGGATATTTTATACTTGGATAACTTTCAATCAGCTTAATTTGCACTATGAGAAATGAGACTGTTGCTTTCAGTTCTCAGGACATATCCATTTTATTATTCCCAAGAAGTGGCTATACCCCTACTTGAATCAGTGGGTCAACATGTGATTCAAGCTTGTGAGTCAAGGATGAGCCCAGCACTGTATATTGTGGCTTGCTTTCAAACTTATGCAGTAGCTATGCTGGCCAGTAGGGCTGCGCAAAGCTTCAGTCCCCGATTCGATTTGGTGGATATTTGGCCAGATTCAGTGGCTGAATCTCCGAATCGAATCAGTGGACCCTTTCATTTCTCCAAATCGAACTGGAACCCTCCGAATTAATTCGGAGAGATTTGGAAAGATTCGGCGATTTGGCCATAGACACAGCTTTAAATGTTTTTTTTTACATACCTCTAGGTAGCAGGCAGCTTGTGAATACTGCGATGCTGGGGAGCATGGAGAGTCCCGTAGGGGCACGGGGGGCTCCCCAGTGCACTTGGCAGTAGACCCGGAAGTGGACCAGAACCAGAAGCACTTCCGGATCTGCCAGGGAGTGAGCTGAGGTGCCCCCTAGCACCCCCCCGCCCTCCCCCTCGGTATGGCGACTGGTGCCTCCTGGGTCTAGGGCAGGGTGCATGGGGGCCCCCCAGCGTGCTCCCAGGCGGACCCAGAAGTGGGCTGGAAGTACTTCTGGTCCACTTCTGGGTTCGCCGCCAAGCATGTGGAGGGCCCCCCCACCCCACCCCACACTCCGGTGGGACTCTCCATCTGTCCCAGCATCTCAACGTTCATGAGCCTCACTAGTACCTTGAGATATGTAGAAAAAACATTTAAATTGCTGAATCATTCTGAATCTCTCTGAATCGACTCGGAGGTTTTCATTTTGATTTGGAGAGATTAAAGGGGTCCTCTGATCCGATTCGGAAATTCGGCCACCAAATTGTGCTGAATCTCCGCCAAATCGAATCGGGGACTGAAGCTTCGCGCACCCCCTACTGGCCAGTAACTCCATCTCCTCATTGCAGTGCACCCTCAGTAATAGAAGATGGTGTGCAGTTCTCATTATTATACTCTGCTTTTCCAAGCAGCGGAAGCACTTCAGCAGGTACACAGTTTGATATGCCTGAAATAAATTAGTAATCTAATGGTCCACTTCCTTTGCACTTGTAGTTCCCTCTCTCTCTGATTTGATGGATTCTTTTTAATCTTAAATGCAGTCCAGAACACACAATGTTGTTCCAGTATGAGTGGGCATGCGGGCCCAGCTCCCCTCTCTCTCTCCCTCCCCCTCCTTCCTCTGTACTCTGTACTTTTTTTCCAGCAGCTCTGGCCAGCAGCATAGAAGTGTGAGGGAGTGAGGGTCATTCTGGAAAATGTAGTTTCTGCTGCTGATGGAAGGGGTAGGAATGCAGGGAGGGAGGATGTTATCTCCTCTTCTTGACCACAAAAACCAGTGGGTTTTTTTGGCTCTTGACATACATGTCATTGACAGCAAGAAAAAGAGGCAATATCTCCCTCAGGAACAGAAAATCTCTTGTGGCTGGTCTACCACTGAGCACCGAAACTGCTACTCTGCAGTCCTGCTGCCTGCTAGAGCCAAAGTTACAGCTGCTGCTGGGGAGTGGGAGAGAGAAGGTTGGGAAAAGGTGACTACATAGGACACACAGGCCTTTTACTGGAACTTGGTATTACCAATATATACCCCTGTTTGGCTTGTAAAACCTCAGTTTTGCAAGGGCTAAGGATCTAATATTGTGAATTACCCAGGTTCTATTATACTTGGACTACTTATGATGTTAAGGAGTAGCTAGAAATTTCAAGGTATCATCTTGATCATTCCTCTCCTATAAAAAAAAAAATGAAGAAAACGTTTTAAAAAATGTAGCAAGATTGCAGTTAGCGTTGGCTGGAAAAGGTTTATAAAGTAATATAAAATTGTATCAAATTCAGGATTTTTAATTGCTTTCTGACTCCTAGTTTTCCATACATTCTAAATAGAATGTCAGTTAGAACTAGTAAGATATCACTGTGCCAAACTTCTAATTAGCTGGAAGGAAGGTGGGGGGCCTTGTGTCTGGTATAAATATGCAGAGTTGCTGTTTTAATCACCCTGAAATAATTGCAAATGTGAAAGGAACAAAATCCACAAAAGAGTATAGGAAACATTATCTTAAATATAGTCCAGTTTATAAGTTGGATGGAAGTTAACTTGTGTTTATTTTTGTAGGTGAACTTCAAAGGAAGATTGGCTTGAAGGTACTTGAAATGAGAGGGAATGCTGTTGTTGGCTATTTACAGTGTTTTGATCTGGAGGGAGAATCTGGACTAGTTGTACGAGCTATAGGAACAGCCTGTACCTTGGATAAATTAAGTAGCACATCAGCGTTCTTACCTGCATGTAATTCTCCATCCAAAGAAATGAAGGAGTAAGTATGAGTTCATAGTGTGAAATGAACGAGATTCATCTCTTTTCATATTCATTCAGTTTTACATATCTGGTGTGGTTTTTTCCCAGCATTTGTTTCTACTTTATTGGTTTTTTCTTGTTAGTAACTTCATTTATATTTAGCAGTTTTGAGATTTAAACTGCCAGTTCTAAAAATTATCTCACTGATGTTGCAGTGGTAAACCTTGGTTTGACCAGTGTCTTTTTGTATTATATATCTTGCATTTGTACAGCCAGAGCATTGCACATTCTTGGGTTGTGATTCACCACTCTAGGTGCTAAACTTTTAATCCGTCTTATCTCTGCAAGTAAGCTGCTTTTTATGTTTGTAGGGACTTTTAATAATATTTTGTCTTCTGTGGGAAGTTTCCATTTAGCAGTTTTGCGGTGCATTCATATAAGGAAAGATAAGTGTATTTGAGTTCAGATTAGTTTAATGTTCAAGGGATGCAGGAACACTCCTATTTTGTGTTCCACACTCCAACCTCTGTCTCATTCTTTTCTCTCCTCCCCAACAGACACACTATATAAAACAAATTCCTCTCTATTGTACTTCATCCAGAAAACGGTTCATGAAGAGGAACTTTCCCTAATTCCAGTTGTCCAGTATGTCTACAGAACCATTTAATATTGTGTGAATTCAAATTTTTAACATGGATAAACAACTTACAAATATGTCAGTCTCATATTATCCTGAAGAGGAACACGTTTCCAGTCTCTAAATTGCCACTGTGATGTTTAATCATAAAATAACTCGTGCTATTTCTAAAATAATAATCAGACCACTGATATAGTAGGCAGCCACAATGCATCCTGTTCCCTCATCAATGAGTCTGATCACTTATACTTTAGCATTAAATAGTTTAATTTTGATTTGTGAAATATGCTGTCATCACAGAGCTTCTGGGCACATTAAATCACAGTCAGCTAAAGGTTATAAACAGTAGCCAACATTTTTAGCAGTGTCTATAGATTATTAACACTTATGTTTGAAAAGAAGACAAAAAACAGTTAAACTGATGTATTCAGTTGTTGAAGAACTTGGAACTTGATAATTTTTAATGGTGTTTTTATGGTCCAAATAGTGTATGAGTGGGTCTCAAGAAGAGCAGGGTTGACTCACATTTCTTGTTGTTGACCTTATTAATCTGAGTCGTTAATACTAAAAAGTCAGTTATATCTTAACATGTTAATGTTTAGCTGTTTCCTTATCTCTTGATTTCAACTCAACTCTTGCATGCTAGGAATTATAACTCTTAGAGTCTGCTTAAAGCATAAGAGATCTTCGCTAACTAAAACTCCCTGAAATCATTTTAACACAACTTTGCAATCTGTTGTATGTATTGTTTTCTTTTCTTCCACGTTGGCTGCAAATTCTCTCAGGTCTCCGCTGGTTCATCCTCCAAGCCATGGATGTCGCTCGACTCACAACAGCCCAATTCACACTGCTACTGGCTCACGACTTACTCAGAACTTCTCTGTGTCTGTTCCCACTCTCATCTACACTGGTACGAGACTGCTCAGACTCAAGAGTTGGGGAGAGGCAGGCCACAGGCAGAGTGGTCGCAAAGTGCAGGCAGGCAGGCAGTGTAGGCAGGTACCACACATCTTTTCTCCCTCCTTTTCTCACTGGGAGTCCTTCTGTTGTTATTGAAGAAGTCCTGTGGTGTTCAGCTGATGAAATTGAGGAAAGAAGAATTTCCTCAAGAATTGGAAGAGCACGTGTCTGCAAAGTCTTTTCCACATAGCCATACTCTTCTTTTTCTTAACTTTGCAAACTTACATAAATCAGATTTTAATATCAGATACTGTGCAGTTGGTCTTCCATGGTAAAGGAATGGTGGAACATTGCATTTTGATTGATTGAATTTCAAATTGCTTTCAAGCTTAACCCAAATAACAAAAACATTTGAGGTTTGAAAGTCCTGTGGGCAGAGTGTGTCATTTTGTGGAAGAGGCTGTGCTGGAAAACAGGTAAGACAGTCTTCACATAAGCGAATGTGTGTCAATATGGTTTTACCCATAAAGATTTTCCTCTTAGCTGTTTTTAGCTGTGGCATGCTGCTGATGCTATAGGATAAGGAAACATTTTTTCCTTCTTAAAATATATGTGTGTTTATACTTAACTATGTGTGTATCTATAAACACAAATATAGTTTGAGATCATCATTTTTCATTTAATAATCTGACGTTATTTTTTTAAACCATGTAATTGTTTGAGTTTTTTTTCTTTTTCATACATATTTTTTTTTCTTGATTTGACATTTCATACCTTTTTATTTGGCTTATTTGTTTCATGGCAGATAATCAGCATCTAGCTGTAGAATGCTGAGTGGGTAAACAGCATTTTTTGCCTTCGGCCTCATCCCCAGTCTCACACTTAAGGAATAATTGCTGGCCCTGCCCCAATCCTATCCTGGTGTTTGGATCATGCTGCTGTCAGCCAGGTCCTTTGGCACAGGATTACTGAATATGTTTCCACCTTCTTCTGGCAGGATTCCCTTCAATGAAGATCCCAATCCCAATACTCATTCATCAGGACCCTCCACCCCTCTGAAAAACCAAACCTATTCCTTTTCACCTTCCAAGTCCTACAGTCGACAGTCCTCTTCTTCTGACACAGATTTGAGTTTGACACCCAAAACTGGTAAGGCGCCTCCAACCCCTTTTTTTTGTTGATTTGTGTTTCTGTTTTATCTTTTCATTCAAATCCTTTCTCTTTTTTGGCATTTAAGTTATCAAAATGATGTGGAAATTGGAGACTTGAGATAACACAACTGAAACTTTAAAAGATTTGTATAGGTCACTATCCCATGTGTTCCAAATCTGTATAATAGGCAGATTTGAGTAGCATTATATAATACAGCTTTATAAAAACTGGACCATAGCATCTCAATTGTTATAAAGAGAATTCTAAGGAGTTGTCTGTTTTCTTTTAATTTCCTCCACTTCATATTACAAATCATGGGGGTAGTCTTAACGTAATGTGCTGGCAGAATGAGAGATCAAACTTTATTAACAGTATCTGACCCTCCAAGTCTAATTTCCTGTGTTGAAAACATATCTCTATCTGCATTTCTGTTTAGTTTCTATCTGTCTTTACAAATTTTATTCTAGAAATAGTGCCTGACGTTGACTAAACCTGGCTGTGTTAATCAAGTATGCTGTCATGTAACTTCTTAAAAAGTAGTTTTTAACTCCTTTAGATCATTTTAAGCTTTTAAATGGATGTTTTTTCTCAGTTTTTTCCCCCCCAACAATTTCATTTATTTAAAAAAAAATTTTTTTCTTTACCTGGTTTCTTATGGAATACAACCAAAAATGTCTTGTGTACACTTAGGCATCTATTTTGTAGCCGTGTTGGTCTGAGACAAAGAGAAATACAAAACTCTAAAATTCTTGGTTTAGAGGTAATACTTTTTATTAGACCTACTAAAAGTAGCAAAAAAATTCTTTCTTTACAAGCTTTTGGGCTCACGCATCCTTCTTTAGGCTGAGGAGAAATCAAAGATTGTAGAAGTCCTCTTAGGTAGAAAATAAGCTCCGTTTTGCACAGGAGACGTTGAGGCTGAACATATATTCCCCTTGGTCTGTGAGAGTCCTTTTGTGTGAATTGTTCTTTGTAACTTCAGAACGGTCCTGGGAGTAAAGTTCTGTCTTCTCCGTTAGCTTGCTAATTGCTTTGCTATACCAGAGCAAAGCATGTGTGTAAAAGTGCGGGTACTTCTTTAATGGTGTTTCTAATCATGATTAACACCCCCCCACACTAATAATTGAATCTCTGAACACGCCTACCTTTTTAATAACGAGAACTTTACAGTATGTTAAATTATTTTACACTAATAATTTGCACTTGACAGTGTCTCTTTCTAGGGTATTGAAAATCATGCAATTTTAGACAAGACCACACTGAAGCAGAGGGTTGTAGCTTAAAAAATTGGGAAAATCTTCAATGTTTTTCAAATTTTTAGTAAAAAAACAGTCTTCAAGTAAGCAGCTTTTTTAAAGTTGTATTTCTCTATTTTTATTTCTGTTTACCTTTTCAGCTCTTTCTTATCATTTGTGTGAGGAGTGATTGTGAATATCTAAGGTGATCACTTATGTTTCAAAGGATTACTAAAATATGGACTAGTGCTTCTTTAGAGCAATATTATTTCACAAATTCAGATATTTATATTATTGAAAGTCTCATAACTGTTTGAAAAACAATCTAATCAAATTCTCCTGATCCGGAACATGTGATATCAAGATGTACTTAAATAAACAGGTCAAGTGGTCATCTTAGTAGAACTAGACATCCGCAAGGCAGAATGAATAACAGCATGCACAAGTTTGTAAAGCTTCTGCAGCAGTAACATTAAATTACAAAGCTGCAGTGTGATCTTGGTAGATGGACCCTATCTGTTTGCATTCAATCCCATTGATATCACTGGGGCTCTGCACGTTGAACTGATTGCAGGATTGGGACCTTTCAGAGAGAGGAATTTTCCAGTATGTAGAGGAAGCAGAGCCACCCTCTTCAATTACAATTTCTGATTTTTGAATTTAAACTAAAAGCAGTCTTCATTTAGTTGTATTAAGTAGTTGCTATCTTCTAGCGGTATGTTCTCTCTATTGCTGAATCATGTCTTAATATGGGGGGAGTTGCTTGTCACAACTAAAGATGTACATAAATAAATATATATTTATATATTAACCCTTAAGGTATCAATGTTTGATTCACATTGGTGTTTTATGACTTTATTCAGCTATAATACATTTTTTTTCTGGAAGTAATGATAATAAGAACTCAGGCAAAATTAATTCAGGGATGCACTTTAAATATCTTAGTCTTGGTAAGAAAAGAATATAATTAAATTATATTAATCCTGGCACTGGTTCCTACATATTGCAGCAATGAAATTTACTCTGCAATCACTTTAACATCTCAGAGGTCTCTATGCATCTAAGACCCCTGGCAGACGTCACATTTAAAATGTGATTAATATATTAATTGAGCACTACATTTCAAGCAGTTTATCAGTGGATAACAAGGCACAAAAACCAAGCATCAAAGATGTTACTTGTTAAATGTATAGCATCTTTGCAGGTCATTTGTATTGCATTTTAATTTGAATGTGTGACGTTGGACGTAGGATGATAATGTTTGCCCAGGTCCTCCTGCATCCCGGGGTAGACTGCTTCCTTCCTCTCCTCCCACCTTCTGTTTCTCATGCTGAACCCAGGGTACAGCAGCAGGAGATGTCAGAACTCATCACTGCCTCTCCTCTCTTCCCCCAGCTAGCTTTCTACTTTTTTTTCAGAGGCCATTTAGTACCTAGTAAGAGCCAGAGTGTAAACAAACACTCGACATGCTTTACTTCCACACAGCAGGAACCTGAGAGGGGAGAAGGGGTGGAAGGATTTGTTCATAAAGTTGCAGGCAGGACAAGATGGGGGAGAGAAGAAAAGCACATAAACAAAAGCATCTCACGAAGTGTCCTTGGAGAGTTTGAATCCTGCTGGTCATGCCCCAGCTCCTCTTCCCCCTTGCCCTTTGCGTGGGTCTCACCTGCTCTGCACAGGGTATGCAGAAGTAACTCCTTCACCAAGGAGAGGCCAGCTGACAAGCTGATGAGCTCATAGCTCACTTCTCATTAGCAGCACAGCAGAAGGGGGGGGGGGGAACTGGGGCATGACAGTTGGGTAGTATTGAAATTTAGTATAAACATGCTTGTTTTTATTTTTCTTCAAAAAGAAAAGTTGATTGCTGTTTAGGTAAGAACAATACAACTGAGAGAGCTGAATAGTTGGCCTATTTCTTGTTTTTGCTTTTGTTTTTTAAGGATTTATTAAAAGGAAATTGTGATTCATGAAACTATATTTTTGGCTGTAGCTGCCTGACTTTTGTGTAAAACAGTGTTGTATATAAAATATGGCTCTAGTCTTATATTTTTCATTATGAATGTTGTCCTTACAGATTGTTTTGATATTACTATATATATGTACTGTATAAATGTTTTCCATTTCCTGGGCCTTTTGCTGAATAATATTGTCTCTGTGTCAAAGCTATTTATGCTTCTGTAGAGAAGGGTGCCCAAATTCATAGTTTGTCAAAATGGAAAAACTATGAAATTCAGGGTGCAAACTGTTCAAACTTTCTGGGGAAGGAAAATTTGATATTCTTCTATGCTTCCTCAACCATGCTGTGTTCCTCTTGCTCAGAAAAGCAGCTGCATCAGCTGATTTCTCAAATGGAGACTGTATCTGCCTTAGGCTCCTTCTACCTGTTACAGCTATTGCAAAATTAACTGGTTAATTGTGCAGTTGAACTGTGACCAGCTACATGTACAAAATACCTGTCACACCATAAAAGGGTCCAACCAATTATAAATGTAGACCTTGAAAATGCATACTAACTTTGTAGCTGGTTGTTATCCAGCTTTAGTTTGCACTTGTAGCATCCTGTAGCTGGCAGCACTGTTAGCTGACCGGACTCCCAGCCCCAGCTGGGCATGGTGGGTGCACCATGCCCAGCTGTGACTGGGATTCCTGCAACTGCTGGGGACTCTTAGCCTCTGCAGCACTCGGTAGCTCTAGGACTCTGGGTCCCATCATCCGCGGGGTGCAGCTGTGATCTCCCAACCCTGAAGGTGTTGGTGTCCCCACATGGCTGGGATATCACAGCAGCTGCAGTCTCCCAGCTGCAGGGTGCCAACCACACTTCCCATGGTTGAGAGGTTGCAGTCCAGCAGGGAGTGCATGTGGGACACAGTCAAGGCTGCGAGTCCCAGCAGTGGCTGGGACTTGCAGTCCTGGCTGCATATGGGACACAGCTGGGGCTGTGAGTCCCCTAAGTGTCAGTACAAGGGAAGCCTGGGATGGCAATCGTAGGCTCCCCCTGTACCTTCAGTAAGGCACGGTAGGATCTTATGCTGGATCCCAGTCACGTCTCCTGCCATTGCATGTGTGGCGTGGCAGGAGGCATGATTATGTAGATTGTGTATTAGATCCTATTGCACCTTTATCTACGCATGTAGAGGGGGCCTTACATAACAAGTACAGATACCAGAATGTCATGGCCAGAATACCTAGTTATAAAGAGATTACAAACTTGGATCTGCTTATTAATCTTGCCTACATCAATTCCAAGCCAGAAAAATATTATCATTTCTTTTATGAAGTAAAATATTGTAACTATAGAGTAGATTGGATAGTGTCAACCAAATTTTCTGTATTAAAAAGTGAGAAGAATTTCTGGATGCACTG